ATTTTCTTTTTTTTTCTTTTTTTTTTTTTTTTTATTACAGATAATGTTCCCTTCGTTGTTGCACGCACTTTCATGCTATTGCAACTGCGAATTAAATATTTAACAAGATAGCTTTTAACATCCGCGTAAGTTAAACACGATCGATCTTTATATACACGACAATATTTTCTTTTTCACGAATATTACGTGAACTTGAGTTTCGAATGTAACATCGAATATTATTACGATATTTTCTCTAAATAATATATTATATAATATTATAATTCTAATTATTTATATAATATATTAATTAATTATTACAAAAATCAAATGTTTTGTCTTCTGTTATTAATTAAATTAGATTTTTTAATCGAACATGCCAATAAATGATTAATTATTATCTTATTATCCCTTAAACACAAATTAATATTTTTATTATCTTAAGACAATAGACTTGCCTTTTGTAAAAAGTCAAAAAAGAAAAGAGATTCCCCAGTAGCTCGTTAATGCCAGACCGTAAAAGGCGCATTAGCCGTAAAACCCACGCTCAATTTATACACAAGCATGCGTCTGTGTGTGATAAATCGAGATATGTAACTAGGTATTTACTTCTTTATATGTATGTATATAGGTATGTATAACGAGCTAACACGTAAACGAGGCGAGATTGGTTTCAATTCGATAATACGATGCATCATCATTTTCTTAGCAAATAACATTTTGTTTTTTCTTTTTTTTTTTTTTTCCCCCTATTTCTCTACACCAAATTCGTACCACATTCGATAAAATCAATCTTCGCTTATAAAATTATTTTTTTGTTTAATTTTTTTTCATATGTTGTCATATCGAAACGTTTAGGTTGTATATAGGAATTATGTAAAATTAGATTCAATTTATTATAATAATAATTATGAATACTTATCATAAATAAAATATATTTTTTTTTAAATTTTCGTGCATAACATTCGTCCGATTGCATCTAAAATCATGATGCACAATATGATCATCTTTCTAACGAGTAAAATCAATCGTGTTATTTTATTTGTGCTTGTTTATTTTTCAATTTTCCTCAATCAAAAATTCAAATTCATCTGGGTTATTCGTTCTTCCGGTATTATCGAAGAACCCGTTCGTAACTCGTTTCCTTTACACGCAGACTGCCATTTCCTCTTTCTAACAGAAATCGTTTTCCCCGTTTGATGGCTTTCTCGACTCCACTCGGTATATAATTGAATATTATTAAATGGAAAAGGAAAATAAACATGGACGATCCTTCCTTTTTTTTTTTTTTTTTTTTTTTTTCTTTTCTTTTTTCTTTATGTTTAAACATATTAAATACATTCGTATTATATCCGTTTATAAATGATTTAATAAATTATCATTCTTATTTAGAATGATGATAGGAAAATATTTAGAATTGGATAATTTTACATGGTGGTGTGTAGTTCGTTAACGGATGACCTTTCAATCGCATTATCGTATCTCATACGAATATGGCTTCCAACGTAAACGTCACGTCGTTAGAATCGCTAATTAATATGCCTTAAAGGTATATCGTATATTATTATAGTCATGTCATTTGTCAGTGTTTTTAAACGTACGAAACCGAGTGTTGTCGAGTATCAAATATTCCTAATGTTAAATTGAAAATTATTCGATATGCTATTTTTTTTTTACTTTTTTTTTTTTTTTTAAACTAATTCATGGTATGAGAATTTGAAGGAATATGGGAAGGGAACGAGTCTATTCTTGATTTAGATGACATAATTTTTCTTGGGCAGAATAAAAACCTCGAAGGGAGAATATAGTCTCTCTCTCTCTCTCTCTCTCTCTCTCTCTTTCTCATACACACACACATACTTTTGGTTTCTCTTTCCCTACAAACCTTCAACGAAAGAGGGAAGGATAGAGGAGAGACGACAGAACGCACGGTTCAAATGTCACGTTGCTTTATTTTCGTTTATATTTAGAAACGAGAATGAGAGAGATAGAAAAAGAGAAAGAAGAAGAAAGAGAGAGAGAGAGAGAGAGAGTTCAGCCAGTGTCACTTACCTCTCTGAGCTCTCGACACACTCGCTAGATGATTTTCGTAAAAGGAATAGAAGAAATTAACGTTCTCTTGACTTCTGCCAAAAATTCGTGACAAATCTTTCAGACTTGCCTTGGGTCTCTTTCATTATACCCCGCGAATTCTATTTTTGTTCTTAAAGGGGAATCATTTATTTTGCTTCAATTTTAAATGCATTTTTGTTTTTTACAAAGATGATAAACCTCGTAATTCTGATCGGATTTAGTTTTATAAAAAATTTGTATTCATCGTTGAAATCCAAAAATTATTGTATTTTCGTATTAACTTGACAACGATATGTTTTACTTTATTTTAGGATTTTTCTATTTTTCGTATTGTAATATTTTTGAATTGCATAATTATTATTTAAATAATTTTTTAAAATCACCGCAGTGTGTGTCACATTGACAACGGCAGTACTATTTTTAAACAACGAGAAGACCCCTTTTGTAATAATCCTAATTGAATCGAGTTAATGAATTAGTTACATCTTTGAAACGGATGATAGGTTTAATCTCGATACTTAAACCATGTCAACCCTCTCTTTATTTTTCTCCTCTTCCTTTATCTATTTTAGGCTCGTCTATCCCTCGATTTACCGTTCATTTCGTAACTGAATATACCTTACGATCGTTCGAGCTTGACGATTTTCTAAGCACAAATTTCTATTTCTCGAGGTTGTTCAAAATGAATGGGCGGTAACATTGAATGAGTACGTGGAAAAAGGAACACGAACGTACCTTTAGCTATTCTAAAAGATAAATGTTTCTCATTTCTGTCTTGACTGTTAATTTTTTTTTTGCTTCTTCTTCTTCTTCTTCTTAGAATAATATCTGCATAAATGTATAAGATCTATTTTTTTTTTTTTTTTTTTAAATTAGAGTAATTCTAGATTTTTAATTCTCATCATTATCATTATTATTATTAATATAATTCTCTCTCTAAGAGGACTGAATAATCTTCTCCTATTATGGTTAATTAACTTTTAAGAGGTACTCTCTTAACATAATAATCGTATGCAATAGTAAGGAATGATACATTTAATAGAAAATTCTTTTAAACTTTCTTATTATTCAAGCAAGCCACTAGCGCGCGAAACGTAGCGAAACAAACGTAAGAACGTAAGAACTTAAACTATGAGAGAAATCCCTGAGAACCTGACAACTTTTCT